TCACATTGAGACAGCCAATAGTGATCACTTCGCCATATTTCTTTTGTTGGGTATTACTATGATTAGATATGCACCAAAGCATTTTTGTTTTGAAAATGCCTGGCCAAAAGAAATGAATATCCAGCAAGCAGTTCAAGAAGCATGGGCTATTGGCAGGGGTCAGTCGATTACTGACCAAATACAATGCTATGGCGAATTTACACAGGCATGGGGGCGTGAGAAGAAGATGCAGTTTAGAGACCGGTTAAAATATTGCAAAGTTCAGATGGCTCATTTCCGAAACAGTAGGGAATTGCAGGGTATTGAGGCTTTTCGAATTACGGGAAGCTTACCTGTAAGTTTTGGCTCAACAAGAATTATATTGGAAGCAACATGCGAAACAACATTGGCTTCGTGATGGGGATGCCAATACGTGCTATTTTCATCTTATGACTTCTTCAAGGAGCTGAAAGAATACTATTCATGAGCTGAAGGATATGACAGGCCATTGGGTAACATGGGATACTGGTCTAGAAAATTTAAGTAAAAATTATTTTGATGATTTATTCACGTCTCATCAGGGAGACATGGAGACGATTTTGGATTGTGTTTCTGGAAGGGTGACGGTGGAACAAAATGAGGCTTTGCGATAACCTTTTACGGTAGAGGAGGTCCGGAGGGTAGTGTTTGACATGCATCCCGACAAGGTAGCAGGCCCAGATGGGTTAAATCCAGGTTTTTATCGATATTTTTGGTCTGTTGTAGGTCAAGATATATCAAATGCTGTTTTATCTTTTTTGAAAGATGATTTATGGACACCATGGACTTATCACACAAATATAATTTTAATTTTGAAGAAAAAGATTCTAGAGTTAATTTCGGATCTCAGACCCATCTCCTTATGTAATGTTATTGATCAAATTACTTGTAAGGTCCTAGCAAATAGAATGAAGCATTATATGGATACTGTTATTTCTGAAGGACAGAGTGCATTTATTCCTGGCAGGTTTATAGTCGATAATGTAATGATCGCTTTTGAAATAATTCATTACATGAAGCTGAAAACTCAAAGCAAAGATGGATATATAGCTCTAAAGACGGATATAAGCAAGGCCTATGATTTAGTGGAACGATAATTTTTATGGGCTATATATGATGTTGAAGTTGGGTTTTTGTACTGATTTTGTTGGAAAAAAAATCAAGAAAATGGTAACTATGGTGGTATATCAGATTTGCCATGGCGGTTATCAGTTTGGACCAATTATACCGTCTCGGTGTTTACGGCAAGGTGATCCTTTATCTCCATATCTTTTCCTTGTGGTTGTAGAAGGATTATCTGCTCTATTACACTCTTTTGTTAGGAGGGGTCAGCTCCATATTGTGAAGGTAACTACTCAGGCACCGACTATTTCGCATTTATTTTTCGCTGATGATGCCTTTTATTTCTTTAAAGCTGTGGAATCTGAAGCTTTTTTCATAAAGCATTGCCTGAGTGTTTATCAACAAGCTTCAAGACAACAACTGAACTTTTAGAAATCTGAAATTTATTTTAGCCGGAACACTACAGTTGATATGAAGCATCTTGTTGCAGATTTATTACATGTGCCGGTAGTGGAGATCTGGAAAGTATTTGGGTCTGCCATCAGTTATGGGGAGAAATAAAAGAGAAGTTTTTGGGTTTGTGTAGGGCAAGGTGTATAAGAGGTTACAAAGCTAGAAACGAATTATTTTATCATGGGACGGGAAGGACATTTTACTAAAAACAGTTGTGCAGGCCATTCCCAATTATTCAATGGCTATTTTCTTGCTTCCTCTTCATATTTGTGATTCTCTTGAAAAGGCAATGAACCGATTCTGGTGGAGAAGCGGCTGTGGCGACAGTTCATGGGTGCATTGGATGTCTTGGCAAAATCTAAGTCGAAGAAAGGCTGATGGTGGTATTGGCTTTCATTTACTGAGGCAATTTAATATTGCGTTTCTTACAAAAACAGGATGGAGTTTGATTACTCGTCCAGATGCATTAGTGAGCCACGTTTATAAAGCAAGGTACTATAAAGATACAGATTTTCTCCATGCAGGTGAAGGTTTGAGTCCAAGTTACTAGTGGAAGTCCCTACATGCAAGTCAGTCCTTACTTCAGTGTGGTTATGTCCATTGAATCGATAATGGGCGACACATTAGTTTACCAATTCCCTTGGTTACCCAATGAAGCAAATCCATATATTCAGAGTTCTAATATGATGGGAATGAGAGATATCTTTGTGGCGGATTTAATGGTGCCCGGGAGACGCACATGGGATTGGGATATTTTGCATTCTTTATTCTCTGAACAGGAAGTGCATGCCATTCGAAGAATACCATTGTGTAATTCTTCACTTGCTGATGCTTGGATATGACAACGAGATGTTAAAGGCATTTATACTGTTAGAAGATGATATAAGGAGTTGTACAATCAATTTTGTTAGGGATATCGACTCTGATACCAGTTGTTGGGCATCAGCTCTGATACCACTTGTTAAGATATCGACTCTGATAACACTCGTTGGTGGTGGTGTGCCCACTCAAGTGGGACCCACACAATTATGAAAAGAAAAAAAAAATCAAAGGTTGGCAACCAACCATTGAATGGTTGGCATACTCTGATACCTTAGTGTTGCATCGTCGAACCACGTAAGTATTATTGCGATCTAGATTAAACTTTTCGTTGGTTGGTTTGGTGTGCCCATTTTTCAAATGGGATCCCACACAATATTTGACAAAGAAAAAAAAAAATTCAAAGGTTTGGCTACCATTACCATTTTTTTTGAAATGTGCATTCCAGTTTGAAAAGTTAATGGAAGAGTCCGTTCATTGGCCAATGCACGGCTCTTCTTCAAATTTCTTCCTATAAATAGAGGCAGGAGCCACAAGCTCATAGACAATCCTGATACAATAAGGATGTTAGACAGTAGTATGACCACAGATATAAATGTAATTCTTGGACAAGAATATTTTGAGAGTTATAGTGTGAAGGTTTAAACTTAAGGTAGAAAAAAAGTGAAGATATAGGTTGGGGGAAACACTTGTGAGTGTCACATGGGGAATTACCTTCTGTTAAGTCCTTACTTATGTAATAGTGGAAAGAAATATCGGTTTCTGTGGACGTAAGCCCCACATTTTTTTTTTTTAGGGTTGAAGCATTCGTAAAATTTCTTGTGTGTCCCAGTTAATTCGCTGCTTTTATATTCTCGGTATTTATCTGGTTATCCTATTACTTAATTAACTCTTATATATGCAATCATTCTAGGGATTGGCCTATATTTGGCGTCTACTAACTAAAGGTGTGTGAACTTTCTTTTGGCGAGCTCTAATGCAACGTTTGCTCTTTCTGGTTGTTGCAAATTCTTTGAATTGTCTTAGCGCAATCTCACAAGCATTTCTCTGTGCTTGTGAACCGAAAAACAATTCAACTGTTTTAGGAAGTTGCCCTATTTCGCAAAGCTACTTTGCTTGGTCAATCGCCAAATTGGTTGTTGGGGGGGGTGGTGAAGGGCTGAGCATTCGTTCGATTGGTCAAGGGGGGGGGTGGGGAGAGGGCTGTAGCATCTTTTGTCGATTGGTTCAACGCTATTCGTAGCCATTTTGATAAGTCACAGATTCAGAAGGCGGTTATGATGGCATGGGAGATTTAGAATGCTAGGAACAATTTGTTGTGGAACCAGAAATCGTGTACAATGCATACAGTTCTGCTCAAGGCTAACCGATACTTGACTGAATGGCAATCTGCTATACAGGCCGCTGTTAGCTATACTAACCTAGGTAGGTGTTTTGTTGTTGAGAAGCAGCCACCTGAAGAGCATATGGTGAAATGCAATGTTGATGCAAACTTTAATGTCAATTTTGGGGATGCAAGTGTTGGAATGGTAATACGTGATCAACATGGTGCCTTTTTGCATGGTAGGAGCATGTATTTGGGTTCAATTTCAAACTCATTATTGGCGGAGGTTATGGGTGTCAGGGAGGCCTTAAGTTGGTTAAACACTTTATTGGGAGTTCTTGGATAGTTTTGATGGTGATGCAGGCTTTGGAGAAAGATGAAGCAAACAATTCATATTTTACAACTTTAGTTCACGATCGTAAGTCTCTTCTACGAGAATTTACTTCTTTACATTTGTCTTTTGTTAAGAGATCAATGAATTTAGCAGCTCATGCTTTAGCTAGAGCTGGAAATTCTATATCGGATTTGTTAGAGCGGGGTACTACTTTTCCATCTATTATTTGTGATGTTTTGCTATTTGATTTTAATAATAGTTAAGCAATATTCTGTTTCAAAAAAAAAAAAAAAAAAATATTCTGTTTTCAAAAAAAAAAAAAAAAGATAGATATTTATGTAAATTTTTTTCCAAATTCTCACTTTATTTTAATCATACATTATATTTTAATTACCCCTTTAATTTCATTTTTGTTGAGACTTTAATTTATCTTAAAACTTATAAATTAATATTAATCAAAAATTACCATTTTTATGAGTAATGTGTTGAAACAACTCGAAATTTTATTTTTACAAAAAAGTCATTTTAAAAAAAAAAAAAAAAAAAAAAAAGATAGATATTTATGTAAATTTTTTTCCATAATTCTCACTTTATTTAATCATACATATATATTTAATACCCTTTAATTTCATTTTTTGTTGAGAACTTTAATTTTATCTTTAAAACTTATTAAATTAATTAAATCAAAATTTTACATTTTTTATGAGTATTTGAAACAACTCGAAATTTTATTTTTACAAAAAGTCATTTTAAAAAAATTAACAATTTTAAATAGATGTTATTATATAATATTATTATATTTAAAACACTTAACTAGTACCTCATGAATTAATTCAATAAAATTTAATAAAAAAAACGTGTTATATTGCTAAACCAAACCCTTAAACCCCTCTAAAGCTATTGAGAATCCTTAAACCAAGTGGAAAATCTATCAACCAAACCGGACCTCAATCAAACCCACCAGTATGTAACCCACCAGTATGTGGCCAATTAGAAAGCTCCAGAAATTAGAAATTTTCAAAAAAAACCCTCACCCCTCTCTTTCTCTCTCCCCGTTTCAGCAACAGCTCCTCCCTGCCCTTCTCAGTTGATTTTTCCGACCGCCTCAGCCCATAGCCGGCCGGCCTGACACTCTCCTCGCTAGCAGCACTCCGGCCATCACTTTTGTTATACCGCAGCAACGAGTGAGAGCTGCGTTTTTTTCCCATTCGAAACAGCCCTCACTCCCCATTCTTTTGATTTTACCGGCGAGACCAGCCAAGGACCGGCCGACCTACCTCCCACCTCGTCACTAGCACCTCACCCACCACCGCTACTCCATCTCCGGCCAATTTTAGCTCACGCTATAGCGAGTAAGAGAAAGACAGAGAACGCGGTGCCGAGTTCTGTACCGCCGGCTTTAGGTTAACCTTCTCCGATGCATTTTTTGGCCTGTTGCGTTTTATTACCCTTTTCTTCAAGTATTTCACTTATCTATAGTTTACTTGGGGAATTGTTGGTAGAATCATGAATGAGAAGATGCTAGGATATTTGCCTTTTGAATTTTCACACAGAGAAAGAAATTATATTTTCTTACTCAAAAAAATTATATTTTCTTACTCCTTGAAATTGCTAATTCTGTCGGTACTTCTATCAATTTTTAATAATTTAAACTGAAGAATTTTAAGTAGACAATTCATATGTTAATCTACTGGGTTGTGCTGATATAGGTTAGATGGTACATTGACCTACTCCTGCTTCAATAGAAGTATATACTAGCTTACACTTCATGCTTGATTCTTGAAGACAAGTATTGTTTTTATAATTTTCAAACTGTTTCATCACTTATATTATTTTAATGCTTTCAGTGGCAGTATGAAATAGTGCAGAAGACTGGTAGCTTGCTTGTGTTATTTGGTCAGAAGATTTATCTGGTTAACTTTAATCTTAAGAAGCAAAAATTGAGTCACCTTTTAGTTATTTTCTTTCTGCACAAGCCGCATGTTGCAAATGTTGGCAAAGTCATGCAGTCAACTTGCACTCATAATGCATTTATACAGAACAAACACTTTTATAGTGCATGCCACATTTCTTCATTACTAAGAGGCCTTTCTTTAAGTCAAATCCTTAAGTACATTCCTAGAAAATGGAAAGGAAGTACCAAAGAGTTAGATCTTCAAAATAATCACTCTATGCTGGGAAATGAGTGCACAGCTGGTGATGAATATATGATAGATAGCCTCGTTAATTCTCTCAAAGAGTTTGCCTGCCAGGGCCAATTATTTAAAGCATTCAAAACCTTCTTTCTGATCCAACAACATGCCTCTTGTATTACTTATTATGACACTGTTATACACTCCATCTCTTCTCTGCTTTTATCTTGTGTCAACCTTAAATTGCTTCCACAGGGAAAACAACTCCATGCCATCATTATCTCTTTGGGATTTGAGCAACACCCTGTTTTGGTTCCCAAGCTTGTTACTTTTTACTCAAATTTCGTTCTTCTCGCTGATGCTCACACCATTGCAGAGAACTCACTTATTTTGCATCCTTTACCTTGGAATATACTCATCTCTTCCTATGTTAGGAATGTATTATTTGGAGAGGCTCTTTCTGCTTATAAACAAATGTTAAATAAAGGCATTAGGCCTGATAATTTCACTTATCCCCCTGTTCTCAAGGCTTGTGCTGAAAAATCTGATTTAGCCTTTGGGAGAGAGGTTCACGAGTCCATTAATGCTAGCTGTCGTGTATGGAGCTTGTTTGTGCATAATTCTTTGGTTTCAATGTATGCGAAAACCGGGGAATTGGATACTGCTCGCTTCTTGTTTGACAAAATGTCAGAAAGAGACTGTGTTTCTTGGAACACGATGATCTCTGGTTATGCCTCCTGGGGCATGTGGAACCAAGCATTTGAGCTATTTGAAAAAATGCTAATAGAAGGTATTGAAGCGAATATTATAATTTGGAACACTATAGCTGGAGGGTTCTTGCATTCTGGCAATTTTAAAAAGGCACTTGAGTTGCTTTCTCACATGAGAAAAAGTGGCATTCATTTGGATTCAGTGGCAATTATTATTGGTTTGGGTGCAAGCTCCCATCTTGGAGCTGCAAAATTAGGAAAAGAGATTCATGGTTCTGCAATTCGCAGCCTTTGTGATGGAGCTGATAATTGTAAAAATGCGTTGATCACTATGTATTCTAGGTGCAATGACCTTAGACGAGCCTACGTTTTGTTTCGGTCAATAAAAACTAAGAATATAATTACTTGGAACTCCATGCTTTCTGGTTTCTCCCACATGGACCGGTCTGAAGATGCATCCTTCTTATTTAGGGAGATGTTGCTTTCTGGCATTGAGCCAAATCATGTGACAATAGCAAGCATTCTCCCTCTCTGTGCTCGAGTGGCAAATCTACAACATGGGAGGGAGTTCCATTGCTACATTTTGAGGCGTGCAGGATTCAGGGACTATATGTTGCTGTGGAATGCTCTTGTTGACATGTATGCAAGATCTGGAAAGGTCTTAGAAGCCAAAAGGTTGTTTGATTCAATGAGCAAGAGGGATGAAGTGACATATACTTCCTTGATTGCTGGGTATGGAATACAGGGTGAGGGACGAGCAGCGCTAAAGCTTTTTGATGAAATGAATAGGTATGGTATTAAACCAGACCATGTTACCATGGTGGCAATTCTTTCAGCTTGTAGCCATTCGGGTCTAGTAGCTGAAGGAAAATTATTGTTTGAAAAAATGTCTATTCTATATGGCATAAGTCCACGTTTGGAGCACTATGCCTGCATGGTTGACCTCTATGGGAGGGCTGGATTGTTACGTAAAGCAAAGGAGATGATCACTGGGATGCCTTACAGGCCAAGCTCTGCTATGTGGGCCACACTCTTAGGATCCTGCCATATCCATGGAAATACAGAGATAGGTGAATGGGCTGCTGAGAAATTGTTGGAAATGAGGCCTGAAAATTCAGGTTACTATGTGTTAATTGCTAATATGTATGCTGCTGCTGGTTGCTGGAGCAAGCTAGCAAAAGTGAGGACTTATATGAGGGACTTGGGTGTGAGAAAGGCTCCTGGATGTACCTGGGTTGACATCGGTTCTGAGTTTTCCCCATTTCTGGTGGGAGACACCTCAAAACCTTATGGAAATGAGCTTTATTTATTATTGGAGGGGATGAATGGAGTCATAAAGGATTCTGTTCATGCTGCCAGAGAAAATTTTGGTTTGGATGATGATCTATTGGAAGGAATAGGATGATGCCCACTGATGCATTTGCTCATCTGTACTTGCCTAATTGGAGGGAATGGCATGCTTCTTTTTTTGAGAAGGTATGTACGTACGAATCTTTGTTGAATGGATTAGGAATTTTAATCTAATTAATATTACTGAATTATAAATCCCTACAATTTCTGCTTTCTATAATTTTTCCTAAAATAAGTACTCCTAAAATCTCTATTGAAGTTTGTAATTGGATCGACACTTTAGCCTTACATATAAATAAAATTTTGAATTCGTATTGCAATTTTTTTTCCTTTTCATTTTTTAATAGATCACCAACCCATATTGTTAGTTTATCTTATCAGGCTTTTGTAATGGTTTAGCATGTCAATCAAATTTTTCTAAAACAATTTTCTTGATTTTGTTTTTCATTATATCTTGACTTTCTATCCTCTATGTTTTATTGATTCATATATCTCAGTATTTTACTTTAACAAAGAACCACTTTATTTTTGTTCCTTTCTTCATAATTTTCAACCAGATTACAATAGTTTCTGACTCTAAAGCTGCATTTGCTTATCCTTACTGACAATAATTTCTATCTTTTGTGATATATCCAGATTACAAATTAGTTTCTGACTCTAAAGCTTGCATTTGCTTATCCTTACTGACAATAATTTCTACTTTGTGATATATATATATATATATATATATATATATATTCTCAGGGGGATAGATTTGCTTGGATGCTGTTGACGCGTGTTTTTTATGTCCCGCCTGATCCGATGAGGACACGAGGATTGCAAAATGAATGGGTCAATGCTATCTAGAAGTCTTTTAATCTAAGGATTTAAATAAAAAAAAAGGGGAAATCAAAAGAAAATAAAATAAAAATAAAATGAATAAAATAAAATTAAAAAAAAAAAAAAAGAGAACTGCGTGCTACAGTAGCTGTGCTACAATGTCGTGCTACAGTGTCCATGCTACAGTAGCTGCGTTTCCTAACCTAGCTTTATAAATATATTTCTTTTTCACAATTTTAACACAACTTCACAACTTCAAAAACGGCAAAAACCCTAAAAAAATATACTGTGCTGTTACATTTCTCTCCAAAAAATTCTTATGAGTTGATTTGAAGAGAAATTGGCATTTTATGAGTTGATTTGAAGAGAAATTGGCATTAGATATCAATTTTAGGTGAATCAAACCATTAAAAGAGAAAAAAATCAAAAGATAAAAAAGGAACACTTCAATCCTTGAAAAAAAAAAAAGCTTCTGGAGATTTTGATCCATTTACAATTCTCAATCTGAAACATTTTTGTATTTTTTTTTATATTTTCGTATTTTTCACATATTTTTGTGTTTTTTACATATTTTTGTGGTTAGTAATTTAGACTTCTTTAAATTATATTCTGTTCATATTTGGTCATTTTATATGTCTTTAAATCACATTTAAACAAGAAATGATGTAAAAAAAATCATTTAAAAATGAATTCTGGGCCTGGGCATGAACAGTGTATGTTCATCGATGAACAGTAATTGTTCATCAATGAACAATAACTGTTCATCCATGAATAGATACTGTTCATTAAAATTTTTTCAGAAATTCAATGAACAGTAACTGTTCGTTCAGATTTTTTCAGAAATTCAATAAACAGTAACTGTTCATCGATGAACGGATACTGTTCACCCAGATTTTTCCATAAATAATAAAAAAATATATAAATTTTGCACAAAAATAAAATCTAATTTCTTCAATAAATCTGAGAATACTCAAATATGAACAGATCACAGTTTAATTAAGTTTAGAACACTAAAAAATAATCTTGTATATTTATTTGTATGGATTTTACAATTTTTGGTTGAATGCAAAAATGAAATTAAAATAAAAATAAAAATAAAAATAAATTGTGATTTAGATACTAAATAATAATCATGCATGATTTTGATTTTTCTCAATAAATCCGAAAATGACCAATGATGAACAGATTGTAATTTAATTAAGTTTAGAATATTAAAATGTAATTATGCATGATTTTGGTTTTTGGGTTCAAACTTTTATTCGGGTAGAATGTATTTTTAGGTTCGGTTTGTGGCCCGCCTTTAACCATAAGGCAAGAACAGGTCTTTTATTTATTTGATTTAATTGCTTTGGATGATTTGGATGATTTGGATGAGTATGAATGCAATGATTGATTTTAATTGGGATGATTAATTAATTTTCCAAATAAGAACTCGATTCGATTCATTCGGGTTGGGTTTAAGTAAAATAATTTGGCTTTTCTAACTAAAATAAATTAGAAATCGTAGGTTAAAAGAGGCCGGTTTTTCCCGGCGTCGGCTTCCAATGGGCCGACGTACCCCGGCTTCCAACGGGCCGGCGTACCCAATTCCCTTACCCAGAATGGCATTGGTGTGTTTGACCAGTCTTTTTGAAATAATTTGCCCTTGAAACAAAATTGGGTTCAAAATGGAGTCATTTTTATAAAAACGGTTCTATTGCCTAAATAATGGGTGGCGACTCAAAATTGTTTATAAGACCGATTTATCGTCACCGCATCCAAAATAAAAATATTTTATCAAAAATAACAAAAAGGATGTTTTCGGGTCTTTCGGGGGGATTTTCGATGAAAATAGATTGGCGACTTCACTGGGGATTTGCATCCGGTTATTTTTAAGAACTAAGTGGTTGCAATTAGGAATTGACTCTAAAATCTACATTTTCTAAAATAAAAATTGATTAGAAAGCCGTTGGAAAGTTCTTTAATCGTTCGTATATGTTTATTCGCTTTCCTTTTTCTTTCTAGGAACTTGCATTCATACTGCATTTCTCTCTTCTTATCACTTTCTACCCGAAATTACCCATCGGTACTGTTGTTAACTTTGAAGGTAGATCCAGCTTAAACCATGCGTTTTAGACATATCTATCTGAGAATTAGCAATTTTACCAACCACAAGCCTAGTACCTTGAAGGTGCGTCAAATACTGGCTAATGAAAAAGCCCGAATCCTGTTTGCGGAACCCAGACCTTGTAAAGCCCAATGGACTGAAGCCCATGCATGTAGTTAAAAGCCTTAGTCACTCATGCATGTAGTTAAAAGCCTTAGTCACTTTCCCTAAGGAAAACCTGAATTTGTTTGCTGTTATTCTGTCGCATTTATTTCGAGAGCTTATATTGTCAATCTCAAAACGCCCTGCTGGTTGTCGAGATTAAATCAAATTCTAGGAAACAGATTTCAGAATTATTGCCAATGGAATTCGTGTGTGGAAGAGATAAGGTTGGAAGGCATGCATTTTCTAACTCCCAATCTCTATGTGTTATAAATTGTACATATGCTGTGATATTCGTGCATCACGTAATATTTTTGTTTTAGCCATGCATTAATAAGAGTTAATTTTCGGTATGGATGTTTGATCTTGATTTTGAGAGTGGACTTCTAATTCGTTTTGAATAACATAATGCAATCTTATAATACCCAAAAGAAAAGGAGTTATAAGGGGTTGAGATTCCTTTGAATTTCATCATTCTTCCCGGCATTATTTGAAAATAAGTGTGAGAATTCCAAAAAAAAAAAAAAAAAGGAAAAGAAAAAAATTTTTGAATTATCAAAAATAAGGATCCTGCTTGGGGACCATTTTGTTCCAAAGGCAAAAAGTAAGGACGCCAAAAACAAAAAAAAAAAAATAATAAGAAAAATCCACTTGAAATTCTTTTATTCCAAGGCAAAAATTAGGGACTTGAGAGAAAATAGCCGGACTATAAAATCCCAAAGGAATGTGTCGACATAGATAATGCCGGAAAATGTTTGAGTACCAAAAGTAAATCATGCCATGTTATTCATATCGAATTTTTAGGTCCAGTCGTCAAAAAAAAAAAAAAAAAAAGATCTCATTGCCATACTAATTATTAGCACATTAGATTTGCATTTCTCATCCTATGTGCAAGTGCAAAGACAGAGGAAAGGCAAAACACCAGTCAAATCGTCTTCTCAAGCAGAAGAAGAAGAAGAGGAGTCATGGAAGCAATTTTTAAAATGGATGCCTTACAGCAATCACAGGAGAATTTGCAGATCACAGTTTTTGATATGGGACAACAACTGCACATGATCCAGGCAAACCAAGCACGTATGGAACGGAAGTAGATGAAATATTTCCAAAAAATAAAAATAAAAATAAAAATAAAAATAAAATAAAAAAAATAAAAAATAAAAAAAAAAATAAAAATTCACTCTGTCACCATTCAGGTTCGGTTGAGGCCTAGGGATTTTCTGTTCCTGTGTTTTTTTTCATTTTTTTTTAATTTCTTGTGCTTTTTTATGCATGTGCATTTTAGTTTTTTGTTTTTCAAAGTGCTGGAAAAGACCTAAGTGTGGAAAAGACCTATATATTTTCATTTCATTTCACTTATAAAAAAATTGACAAAAAAAAAAAAAAAATTTGACAATTAAAAAGGGTCAACTTCTTTGCCTTTGATTTGTTTATATTTTGCGTGTTGAAATAGAAGTCTTTAATAATATACCATGATTAAGAGATTTAAATGCTTATATGAACTTAGGGGCTAAGATATGACAGCAAAATTTTTCTTTAGCAAATGTTAATTTTTAATTAACCATCTAGACATTATTTTTGACTTTAGAGAAGCATGAATCCTGACTTAAATAAAGAATAGGAAGGAAAGAGAAACTAAAGCCATAATACTTGTATGTTTCGAGTCAATAAAGTCAATAAAGGATGAGGGTATTTTGAAAAAAAAAAAATGAAATGACAAGAGGGAATAATGGAAATCCGTTCTAAAAACAAAGTGATACGGAGCATAAAATGCGACCACTTATTATTTACATTCCCACATCTTTCTATAAAAAAAAAAAAATGCAAAATGAGATGTGGTATGGAGCATAAAATGCAACCACTTTGTGAAAAAGAAATAGGTTACCTAAAAATACCTTGAGATAAGAAACAATATATGTGTGCTAAAATTGTACAATGCAGTGGCTAAAAATTGTCCAAGTTACTTTCCTATTTTGCATTCTAAGTGTAATGAGATTGCCTAATCTCATAAATGACTAGGATTTTGTATCATTTAAGATTTTTGTATAGCTATATTAACCAATTTTTAAATGTCATATCATTTATACTACCTGGTTCAAAACACGTTTCAAATCTCTTGTTTTTTGGTGGATTACTTTAAAGAAGTCTTAAATCAACGGAGTAAATAAATCATGAATACAAACATGCAGTTCTTAAAAAAAAAAAAAATAAAGAAAGATGAATGTTTCATGGGACAAGCAAAGAGCTAAGGCGGAGAAAAAGCCTCGCAAAGCGGTCAAAATTTGTGTATGTATACATATTGCGTTTGCTCGTGGTGTATAAGTGATTATTAGGATACAATTTGAAAAAAAAAAAAAAATAATAAAAAAAATATTGAAAAAAATAAAAATAAAAATAAAAATTAAAATAAAAAATAAAAAATAAAATAAAAATAAAATAAAAAATAAAAAATATTTTTATACATGAGGGAGTTGCATATTTTACCTCTTTTTGAATATTGCATATCACCCTATCTTTTCAAAAACAAATAAAAAAAATTAAAAATAAAAAAATAAAAAATGAAAAAATTTTTAAAAAATTAAAAGATGTTTTTATACATGAGGGAGTTGCGTATTTTATCTCTTTTTGAATATTGCAGATCATCCTATCTTTTCAAAAAAAAAAATGTGTAAATTTCAGTCCCTAATTAAATAATCCGCTTTAATGTGCTTTGATTTCTTGAATCCGAGGGCAGGAGGCCCAAAGTGCTAATCCAACAAATAGTTTCGAAAGAAAATATTTGTTGTTGTTCTTTGTTATTTTATATGCAGAAAACATGATTCAGTCAAAAGGGAACCAGTGGAATTATTCATTAAAAAAAAAAAAGAAAAAAGAAAGAGGGATACAATAATTGGGAGCTCATAGCCCTCTCAAATGCAAAAAAAAAAAAAAAAAAAAAAAAAAAAAAGGAAAGCGCGCAAGCAGTCACCACTGTGTGTAGGATCAAATC